TTGAGGACGCACAGTGTGGCGCAGACCCAGGACGAGACACGCTCCTCCTGACCGTCGGTTTGCAAACCTTCATAGACAGAGCGATCCACATGCGCCAGTGCTGGGCCGTCCTCCTGTTCTTCGACTTGGCCAAAGCTTTCGACAGCGTCATCCCGGAGTACCTCTACGGAGCCGGGCATCGCCAGCTACACCAGCTAGCGGATCAACTGCACGATCTAGGCATCCCGCGTGACGTGGCCAACGAGACCCAGCGCTACCTGCAGGACAACCCATCGCTCATCCGAGCGGCGGGCATGGACGAACACGCCACCGCGAGGGTTGCGGAGCTCCCAGGTGCGAGGTGAACCAGGCCCCATGGTCGCTGCGAACCGCAGCGCTCGTCAGGGCTGTCGACTCGGAGCAGCGTGCTTCGACGTAGCCTACGAGTCGGCCCTCAAGCGAGTGCGGCAACGGTTCCAGGAGAGCAACATCCAGCTGAGCATCAAGATGTCCACGCGTGCATCCAACTTCCGAGTTCCTGCGCGATTGACCTCAGGAGCTGCTCGCCAAGGTGGACCTTGCAGTGGACACCATCAACGATGAGTTCCGCAAGGTCGGTTTCGCGATCAACGTGGGCCCCGGGAAGTCTGCGATCATGGCGCGGATCTACGGCCAGGACTCCCGCACGACCTGGAGGAAGCGTTTTCTCTCCATGGGCCGGGCGGTCTACCTATCACCAGCAGGACTCGAGCTCGAAATACTTCACGACTTCCCGCACCTCGGCACCACGCTGCAAGCGTCGGGTCGGCACATCTTAGACGCCAAGCAAAAGACGTCCAAGGCCCAGCAAAGCTACGCCCCCCTAGCGGTGCATGTGATTGGATGAGGCTCCCTGCGATGTTCCACGCGATCGACTCTAGCTACAAGCTATCACCACCACCACAACCAGCATCGCCATCAGCATCATCATCACCATCATCACAATCAAGAATATCATCATCAACAGCATCAGCATCATAATCATCATCATCAACAACATCATCGTCAGCATCACAATCACCGTAACCATACTCATCATCATCGTCATCAACATCATCACCATCATCGTCATCATCAGCAGCATCATCATCAGCATCATCATCCTAATTATCGTCATCATCCTCAGCATCATCCTCCTAATCATCGCCATCAACATACTGATCATCATCACCACCATCACCATCATATGGTCATCATCATCCTGAGCATCATCACCATCATCAGATTCATCTTCATCGTCACCATAATCAGCATCAACCTCATCATCATCATCATTATCATCGTCCCCTCCCTCCTCCTCATCGCACCCCTCCCCCTCCTCACCCTCCCCCACTTATTCCTCCTTCTCGTCCTCCTCCTCCTCCTCCTCATCATCATCATCCTCTTCCTGCTCCTCCACCTCCTCCTCATGGTTTTCCTCTGGCTTCCCCCTCCTCCTACAGGCAGCGGACGGTATGGACCACTCGCCCGCTCTACTCTACGCGCAACAGGGGCAATGGCGACGACGTGGTAGGCCAGCTCCACTACGCCCTAGAGCCAGCTCAAACAATCACCGCCGCGCAAGGCCCGGCAGCGCAAGCAGCCCAGACGGCCCTCCGAATAGCGCCGCCGCTGGACCGCCCTGGCACCCGCGTTGACTGCGCCCAGCGTGCCGCGCTGCCGCGGCCAGCGCGGCCACGCCGGGCACTGCGTACTTGACTGTCACGACTAAAACAACATGAGAAGCCTGCCCGCCCGCTGCATCTCGAGGTCGAGGACTGCCTCTCCAAAGCGGGCGCCCACTACGGTGCCCAGACAAAAAGTGTCCACACCCATGTCAGGAAGGCGATGCAACATGATAGCAACCACAACTCCGAAATGCCCTCACTTCGCACCCCTCCTCCCCAAACCCAAAGTTGAAGTGTCCACATTTTGTCCCTGGCCTTTGGCCTACAGCCATAACCCTTAGACTTTGAATTCAGGGAAAAGGGGGGTATACATGTTGGTCCGACGTACTTTAATGACTCAAGGTCTTGGCGAGACACGTGTGGACACTTTAAGTCCACCCACCGTGGTAATCAACCCTGTCAAGGAGGTTATGCCGTTGATGCGAGCTGCTTCAAATGCGTGTGCGTCTCACGCGAAGGATAGGACCCCTGGCCATGCAACTCGAGTCCAGGCAACGCAATGGTCACGCGTGAAGTTGACGACGGCGCGTGACGATGGCGGTGATGGTGGCGATGATGCGCCCTCAACACACTGCAATGCGAACCGCGGACATGCAACGCAAAGCAAGGCAAGGCAAAGCAAATCCAACGAAACGCGGGGCCCAAACAACGAAATTATCCTGGCGAAGAACCCAACCATACTGTATGCAGTTGTGGGTACCGCAATTGTGAATATCTTCTTCGGTGAAGCTCCCTATGGGGCCACGAAACGCTGCACTGGGTGTGCGGGAACGCATGCGGGAGGTAGCAATGGGGCCGTCGGTGGAGCTCCCTGT